CTGGGTTCAGGCAACATAACTCACATATTAACAAGCCATGGTTAAATAACCCATACCCCACTTGAGTATAGATTATACTGTTGTCCGATCCCAGTTATTGTGACCTGTTAACATTTTTCCCTGTGGAAGAAAAGCCCCTAACTCTCCATTCACCTCCCCACTCCTCTCTGCCTTCCATTTTTCTTCTCTACTACTTCTTTCACTGCAGCCTTGGCCAATATTGGGTAAGATCAGGGTCCCCACCCGGAACTTGTACAGGAACCGATACTCCTGGAGAGATTAACCCTAGAAAGAAAGAGGGTAGAGAAAAATTTAATAACTAAAGAAATCCCAAATATATTATAGACTGCAAAAACACAAGATGCAAGGTTTTACATTAATCACAATAAATGCATACATTTCATAGACAGATTATGCAACACATGCAGACCACTCAGAACATCTGAATAACTAGGTTGGATAGTTCATTCAAGTTGTAGAATGTCAAAAGTTTGTGGACCCAAGTGGTTCTTCAAGTTTGCTCCAGGAAACCTCCCTGAGCGTGGAGAATACAACACAGCAATGGATCCCTTGGCAAAGATTAAGGAAGGAAGAAGGCCCACGGAGCTTCTTGAGGACCTGGAAAAGGATGTGAACTGCTACTCTCCAAGGTCCATCCAGGTTCACTGGACGATCCTGGGTTCTAATATGAGAGAGGGAGAAAAGGTCTTCCTAGCCACTTTCCCCATAGCATGCATAATTTGATAAACCAAAATCTATATAAAATGAACTATAATTCTCATTTATAGTCCACTCTGACCTTTTTTGCTCTTTTTTAAATTAAAGTATTATAGAATTATGCTCTTGGTGCTTTGCTTTTTCCTAACGGACCAACACAGCTATTTTTCAGTTTTGTATTTCCACTGGACTTTGTGGTTACGGGGAAAACCTGTGGGCACATGGCAGCTGTGCCCATCCAGATGCCCTCCAATTATGTTGTGACTGGGTTGTAGTCTAACACATCTTGAGGGCACCAGGTTAGAGAAGGCTGTTTAGAAGAGGGAGGAAACAGGTAGAGAGTTTTCAAGCACTCTAACATGCTTCAACAGATGTGTCAGAAGCTCTCACTCCAACATTTACTTGCAGTTGTGTGGATTCCGGGGCATGCACAGAGCTCTCCTGCATGCACAAATTCTGATGTTCATCCCAGCAGAAAGAAACTTTAAAAGGACCAAGGATTGTGCACTCCCAGATCCTTTTCTAACTGCAGTGAAGAGGGAATGCCATTCACGCTTGAACCTCTACATGCACTAGGAATTATTAGTAAGATTCCTATTCAGTTGGATGGAATTTATTGAAGCAGTACAGATCTATATATATGCCCCGAGGACAGGACTGAAACCCATACCAAAATACCCCCAAATGGAGTGAATTGTGCAAACATGACAATATGTCAAAATTGTTTTCATTATTTTGGGGGAGACTTTTGCAGAATTTGAAATTTCACATTCAGTCCCTTTTCTTTCCTGCTGGCTGAAACTTGGCTTGAGGTCTCTGTAAAGGAAGAGTCTGAGTCACAGTACTGTAGCTGAAATTTATGCTAGGTGACTATGCATCACCCTTAAAAGCAAACACTCTTGCGCTGCATGAAAAACACACTCAAGTGCTATGTGTGTTTTAACTGAAACTGCCCACACATGTTTACCTATTCCTCCATGATCAAAAGGACTAGAACTTTGTCTTTTGGGAGAAAAATACATTAAGGGTACCATCCCAGAATACTTTTCTTCCTACACAAGCATAGGATAGTTCCCACCACAAAATCCGCCTTAGAGGCTATCCTCTGCAGTTCACAGTTGATCCAATCCCCAAGAAGAATTTCAGATTTCTTTTTGCTTTTTCCTGCCACTGTCCACTGCCATTTCACAGATCTTCTATTTCCCATGGTCCTTCCACAGCATTTTCTCATTCCTACTGCCCAGGGGCAGGACCCTGCTTCCCGTGTGTCTTGCTTTACTCCCCACTCGCACCCCACTTGTGCACATTCTGACCCCCTTCCCCACCCGCAACACCCACTACCTTTCATTTACCAGTAGAAGCTCCATTGCTGGAGCTCAGATTATGGGAAGGGAGCTGGGAGGGTGTGTACGAATCGTAGTTTCGCGCTGATGAGCTGCTGGGGAGCATGCAGGAATAAGATGACGTCTGGCTGGCAACAGGGGGCACTGCCTGCTGTTGGGGACAAAAACGGGTTTGACAGAGGTTAATATCATTGAGGGAATGAATCCACATCAGTCCTCCCAGCTGCCACCTGGCTCTCTTTGAGCATGTGCTTGTCCATTTAAAGCTCACCTGGATAGGAAGGCTGTTGGCCATAGAGAAAGTGGGTAAAGGTGGAAGGGCGCCATAATTGTTGCTGAGGGTGCTTTCTGTACGGCCCAGCATAGTACCTGGAACAAGGAGAAGGCGTGACAACCTGAGTCCTGGGATGGCGGGAAGAATCTGGCTGTGTCAGAGGGGGAGAGACCTCTTGGTGGGTACAGGCCATGCAGAAAGGGGCCTCTCAGGAAGACATCGGAGAGCAAGAAAGGGACACACGATGCATCAGTTCACTGAGTGCATGATCCTCACCTGAGCCGGCAGGCTGGGGCAGGGACTGGTAGACAGTACTGCTCCCAGTGCCGAAATTGCTGTTTATGGTCAAGTGCCCCCCGGTGCCCCCTGCTTGGCGCCTTTGGTTCCGCAGTTTTTCCTCCCGACGCCACTTGGCTCGGCGGTTGGAGAACCAGACCTGGAAGAACAGTAACAGTTGCCCAGACAGATGGGGGAAGAAGAGATGCTAGATATTCCCTCCCTGTTCTTCTCCCCTGAAAAATGCTGTGTGTTCTCCCTCGCATTACCTGGATCCGGGCCTCTGGGAGATCAATTTTTGCTGCCAGGCGTTCACGGGCAAAGACATCAGGGTAGTGAGTGCGCTCAAACTCTGAAGAACATTGAAAGGTGAAAGTGTCAACATTGTGGACACTCCTTCCTCTCTTTCCCCCTCATTCATAGTCCTTGGTGAAATAGCACTTCTGCCCAGTCTTTCACAGCCTGGGAAGACCGTTTTTCCTGTATTGCTGTGTCAGCACTCATATTCCCACTCTTTCCTAAGAAGTATGATTGAACCAAACTCATGTTGCACTGCGATCCTCCCTTCTCTACAGCCATAGCTGAACAGCAAGCGTGGACTATATATTGCAAGGGGAACTGCACAGAACCGTCTCCATCCTGGTCTTCAGTGCAATGCAGAAGCATTGTATATGTGGATCGCTTGCACCTGCCATTTGCTGGAGTGGGGAAAACTGTGTCTGTGGTGCTTAAATATTCCCTGTGGAGCAGGAAAGGCCACTTGTGGCCCTCCAGATGTGTCTGGGGGAGACTGTGACAGGACAGCTGTGTGCCCACTCGAAAGGTCTGCTTTCCAGGGGCCAATTGCTGATGGGCAGCTTCGAGGTCCCTGGGTGCTCTTCCCCTTCCTCTTCTTTTCACTTTAAACCAAACTTGGATACCACAGCCCCTCAGATAAAGAACAACTTCAAACAGAGGACGATCCTTTCAAGAGAGGACTGCTTTCTATACAGTAAGGCAATGGACAGCCTGAACATCTACCTTCTACTAGAATTCAGCAATACTGAAGCATTACATCCAGTATCTCCATTGTCTGTCCGCTGTGGCTGCCTCACAGTTTCCTTCCTTTCTTCATGTGGATCCCTGGAGTAACTTCCTGTGGAAGGACAACAGCCTTCTCCTGAAGGCAGGTGCTGACACTGCAGATGCTGCACTTATAATACAGTCTGTTGCTTGCAAATGGCATATGAGGCCGAATTATAAAAACCTCTGTACCTCTACGTTGCAACACTGCTTAAGTCCACCAGATGGCAATGCATATCTTTCCCGGGTCTCCCTTGCATTTCTGTTGAGTAACTGGATGTAAGATTGGCCACTTCTGAGTTTTAAAATTCTTTCACCATAAGTAGAGTGCCTTTGAGCATACCCAGAATTATACTATGCTGCAATCCTACAATTGCTGCAGGTAAGGAAATCCATCACATGCAATTTAGTGCTATTTGATCTCTTTTAGCATTGTTGCGATCTCACAAAAGACCCAGCAGAAAGTTTTCCTACAGATCTTGCTTCTACCATCATCCACAATGCCAAGCATGCTTAAATCTGCACCTGTCAGCACTGGTTTCATAGATGCCACTCCTATTCAGACTGAAGAGCTGCATTCTTCAGAAGCATGAGGCAGCCCCTGCCTTAGCGCCCATCCTTTTCTTTAGGTAGTGCTGGTTAACATCCAGCCAGGGGTCTTATTTGGCAATCTGAGCAGACAGTTGAATACAGATTGAAGATTCAGGATCTGCTGCCTGATCACCCGATCAGCGAAGAAGTTGTTCAGCAGAGAGGCAGCTCAGCATGTCTGCAGGCAGGCTTAGCTCTTAGATTCTGTATCTGAACAGCCTGCCAGCTCAGCTATGGTCTGTGTGACAACAACACATGCGAGCAGATTCAGGAAGACAGAAAGTGATGCTCGCTACTTCTGCAAACATTTTAGAAGTAGCAATTGCCGCATGTCAGTTTAGTGAGTACACGCTCACACTGTTTGAATTGCAATGTACATGCAGGCATTACGGCGGTGCCCATGTGTGTGCAAAATATGAAAACACCCACACTGCACGCCTAGCTTGAAATCAGCTTATTTTAGATACTAGCCAGAAGGATGACACAGTAGCCAATTGACAGCCTCACTGGCGTGTCACTGCATTGTCACCTGTTCCTACCGTCATCCCTTTCTCACCTTTCTCCAGTGCCTCAATCTGCTCCTGGGTAAAAGATGTCCGGTTCCTTTGCAATTTGCGCTTCAGCTGCAAACGGATTTGGGACTCATCTAGGTCTTGGCTGCTGGCACCTTGGGCGTGCTCAGGATCCAGGCCACTCTCCAGTTGCTGGCAGCTGTCTGGGGGGAGGGGTTGGAGTGTGCAGCAAATATGTGAAACGAGGAAGGCAGCTCCCCTTCCCTTTCTGCATTAGGACCAGTGATCGTAATCTACACAGTATTCTAGTATCGGGTACCAATGTGGTGTGTAAAACTTCCTGGGCAACCTTGGTCTGCCCCTACTTAGTCTAACCTTTCTCACAGGGTTGCTTTCGAGACAAAAATGTTTGGGGGGGGGGCAGAATCATGTATGCTGTCTTGAAGGAAAGTGGGATGAATGTAACTATTACCATGTTTGTGAACCTAGCATTCATAGGGCATGGGTCTCTAGTATATCTGTTTTACAGATGGATAGGTAAATGTATATTCCATCCTTTCTCTATGGAGATCAGGACCATGCACATGGTTTTCCCTGCCCTCCCTTTAATTTTCACAACAACCCTTTGGGTTAGATAAAGCTAAGAAAGTGTGACTGGCCCAAGGTCACAGAGGAAGATGCAAGGGCATCCTCTACAGTGCAAATTTCACCTCCTCAGTACTGATATTATTCATTTAATATCAGTTAAATTAATATCAATGTTAATCAGTTAATATTATTCATTATTCATTCCTATAGCCTGCAGGGCTCTCTCCCTGATACTCACAGGGGCCATACCTCCAGCAGCAGACCAGGGTCTAAAGCTAAATTTGACCTTTTGTAGATTTGTTGCAGAAATTTGGTAGTGAACCCCCAATCATTCTGCTGCCACTGAGAGTCCACGTAGGGGTGACAGGGGCCACAGCCAGAACTTGGGAGGTGCACTCAGCCGGTGGGTCACACATTGCCCACGGCTGCAGCTCAGAGCTACATAGCTGAGAACTGAACCCTCTTTCCTACTTATCTTACCTTTGCTGTAGGCACATCTCACTCTGGGATGGATTCTGCCTTTTCTAAAAGTGGGAAAAGGGGCAACACTTTTGCAAATGAAGGAAGGTGCCACAATAATTGAGGCAAGAAAACAGAGGGCACAGGGAAAGTGGAGGAAAAGAATCTGGGAAATGCCTGTTACTCCAATGATCTATAGTTTTATACTTCTATACTCCCATTTTCATTCACTAGCACTTCATCAAAGGTGGGGAAAAGGGCTAGGGCTCAAACTTGCATAGAAGAAACTTGAAACTATAGCCCAGCTTTCTCCAAATGGTTCCTTCCAGATGTGTGGAACTAACCTCCATTACAATTTCCCACAATGCCTGGTGTGGTATTTCCCTGGGACATTGTGGGAAATTAAAATGATGGCTTCCCGCAGTCACCCAGAGCAGCTTGGAGTCTGTCAGGGCCTGCTGACACAGGGGGCCCACTGGAGAACACGTGACTCACGGTTCCCTAAAACCTGGAGGGATGTCCTTGCAGGGGTGACACCCCAGAACCCTGACCCCAAACCCCCACCATTCTTCCTCACAGATCACAGACACCCCTTGCTCTAAGCCTTGCCTCAAAAAGCCTTTCTCTGGCTTCTTCCTCCTGACTGACTGCATGGTGTTTGTTCACAGTGACAACTGTTTATTAATAGTTTATAAAGAGTTAATGAATGATTAATTCGTGTTAAGAAACTGTTAATCCATTGCTGTAGACTGAAGGTGTAGAATCCTGCTTCCTATGCATTAGGAGGGGGAGGCAGGGAAAGAAGCTGCCCTGAGTTTGCTTCTCACCATGACCCTGAGGCCTATGGGGTCAAGAGCCAGGGATGGAAAATAAACTGGAAGAGACTGAACTCCTGGGTTCTTCTCTCTGTAGGGACAGAGGTTTGAGCTGATCTCTGGGAAGAAAAGTTCTAATGTGTTAGCCTTGCAGAATCCTGGGCTTTCTGAAGCAGGAGAAGTGTCTTGAGGTTGGCTCAGAACCAAAGCTAGAAGGAAATTAGCTACTGTGGGTTTGGGGACTAAGCTCCCTGGGAAAGGGACATTGGTGGGTGGCAACTAGGGGAACCCACAAGGGTTTAACCTTTTATCCCAGGGGAGCTCTGGTCTGAACAGTGACCTTTCTTTGCTTCTGCGAAGCCAGGCACTCGGATCTCTGCAGGCGACGCGAAGCCACGACATCAGCCGCAGTGCCCTAATGCGAGGCGACACTGCCAGCTCCCTCCCTCTCCTTCCCCGAATCCTTTGCAAGCCCCGAAGCAATGAGATCCAAAAGGCCCCCTCGGTGAAGAGTGTCTCTGCTTGGCCCCAGCCCAGACATAATGTGTTGTCAGGATCCCTCCCCCTCCCCACCCCCACCCTGCCAGCCAGGCAGCCTGCTGTGCCTGCCCAACCCCCAACCCCAGTTCTGTCCCCACATCCCCATCAGCTCCGCTTTTGCTGAGAGATCTTTGCAGAATGCAAAGGGAGGAAACACACTTGCATAAACCCAGAGGGGAAATGGGGCGGGAGAGGTGGTGGTGGTGGTTGTGGGGGGGAGAGGTTGAGGAGAGAAGGGAAGTGTGGGGAGCGGAGGAGGCCTTGCACACTATCTAAAAACAGCACAGATGAAGCGAACAGAGGGAGGTGGGGGGAACAGCCTGCCTGATGCCAAGATAAGCACCAGCACTGCAGCTCAGCTCTCTGGGTCGGGGTCGCACAATGAAGCCCAGAATATCAGGAGAGGACGAGGCGGGGAACATCGCGCGAAGTGGATCTAAGGTCACAGCAGTAGCACAATCAGGCTGTGGCCACAGGGAGTAAATCCCATTCTCCACATGGGGAGGGATTTGGATAACCCTGGATGGATATCCAGGGATACAAGCAATCACACCAAGTATTTGGAGCTATAAAAGAAGGTTAGTTGACCAACCTTATCAAATAATTTGTCAGGTTTCATAGCACCGCAGCAAATGACTGAAGCCATTTAGCTAAGAGGACAAAGCTCAGAATTTCAACACCCATAATCTTCAACTAAGGAATACACCTGTCCTAAAGCAATCTCAGATCTCACAAATTGCTCCCCACAGGGGTCAGGGTTAATCCCTATTCTATATTCTTCCCTATTCATACAGATAGATAAGAGATGGTCCTTCTTAACATCTGTGCTGCTGGGACCTGGGATAGGATAGAGAGCAAAGGACTGCGCATATCTGTCAGGTGTAGTAATGACTAGGCACTTCACTAGAAGGCAGAAAACTGGGCTGAGAGCAGTAGTTTGGGCCAGAGACAGGAAAGTGGTGTGCCCTAACACTCTTTCTTTACTCTTTTTGAAGGGTATGGGGGTTATGATTTTAAAAGAGGGGAAAGTTAGATGTAGAGTTTGCAGATTTCATTAAGGACCCCTCTATTTCCCCACCCCCACAAATCTGAACACTGGGGTGCTGTCCATCTCTATTCCGTGTGGGAATGTCTCAGTGCAAGATCTATCACCACTAACCAGAGAACGGCTCAGAGTACGGTCTGAAGACACATAAGGCATCACCACATTGAAGCTCAGCCGGTCTGGGTCTGGCTGAGCTTGGAAGGGAGACTGACTGGGAACCACCTTGAGTTCCACAGTGGGAGAAAGGTGGGAAATAATAAATAAATGCATAAATACCACATCAGTTTCAACATCAGAAAGAAGAGACACACCTTTGCTGCTGCAGCTGGATCCCACCAACACATGGGGCAAATTCTGAACTGGGATAAGGAAGGATTTGGCAAGGAATTTAGTGTTGTTGCAACCATGGATCCCTACAGCAACAAAGGCTAGAAACACACTTCAAAGAAAGAAAATGAAACAAACGGGTAACTCCATGATACACTGGAGGTATCATGAAAGTGAGATTATCTGTCTATGGATAACAGTGGGCAAAATGAGCTGGCCCACCTGTTCCTCATTGATTTCAAAGAGCTACTACTATGTATGAATAGTTTGCAGTCCCAACTTAAGAACATAACATGACTCCAGCACCTTGCTTCCCACTGTGGGCGACCACATGCTCCACAAAAAAGCACACAAGCAGGACAGGAGGGTAAAACAGCCTCAATTTTGCCCCCAGCAATTGAAATTCAGTGGTGTACTGTCTTCCATTTAACCATTATGGAGAGTCCTCCACCACTGATCAGTCCAATTCCCTTTTAAGATCTCTAAGCCAGTGGTTATTGCCACAATTTATGGCATTTAAGATGCACTGTGTGAAAATTCAGGACCCCCCCCCCAAGCATGTGGGTCTTGAATCTTGCTAACCCACTTTATTTTTAGTGATCTTGCATTCTACAATTATGCAAGACAGAAAATCTTGTCTCCCTATCCAGACACATCCAAATGTCAATAAAGTGTATGGACTCATATGACTGGCCCTAGTTTGAAAATGCCAAATAAAGCATACATTAATAAGGGGGGGGGAGGGTGTTCCCAGAATGATATTTGACATGAAATGTAGACAGGGCAAGCTTTTGGTTTGGCAAGAGGAGTTGGTCAAAGTGTCCCCTAGTGGCCCCTCTTCCCTGGTGATGGTTTGGGGTAAGCTAAACTGGAAAAAACGAGCATGGGCAACTCCTTGACACCTGTCTCTAATTGCCATTAACATTTCTCATAATGCCTGCAAGTGACTGTACATGGGGGCGGGGGGGGGGGCGGGTTAAAGAAAAGCTAGACCCCGCATCTTTGCCACTCGAGGCAGGTGTCAGCAGTGGAACCTCCCAGAGTACAGGAACCCTGGCAATTGCTCAAGGATGTTGGTTCCCGGCACCAGCTGTGGATGTAGAATAGGTAGGCAGTGGGCTGGCCTTCTGAGCTTCAGCCTGGAGTAGAGGACCAGTTGGCACCCTCTTCCACTCCATGTACAAAAGCCAGCTGGGCTGGCCATTGAACCTTAGCTTCGACACTGGAACAGCATCCTTCCTGACAGAAGAAGACGGCAGCCTGCGCTGGGGGGTGCAAAGCAGGGTGGGTGGTGCACGGAGAACTCTCTCTTCCTACGCCCTGCCGTTGCCTCCCAGCATGTGCCGCCTGAAGCAACTGCTCTTGCTTTGCATAACAGCAGGGCTGACCCTGATTTGGGATGAGACACGGAGGAACCCGCATCAGCCTTGACTACTTTTTCAAGGTTCTAAGGAGCTAAATAGTCGTTATTTATGATAAAGCACACAACAGAGTATTTGGAATCGGAAAGGGCAGGAAAGCCGCTGGGGAGAAGCTGGTTACAGTAGGAAAAATGGTTACTTGTGCAAGAACGTTGTGTGTTTGTGTGCATGTGTGGACGCATTTCATACCAGGGTTGGATTGTCCTGTCACCAAACTGTCTTGGTACCACTCCTGGCGACCACCCCACGCGTTGTTCTGTATGTTCAGCATTCTGCTCTTCTCATACATGCCATTCACCCCCATGGAATGGAGTGGAAGGCCAGAGTGGCAGGGAGAAGGGAAGTGGGGCTGGTGGACAGCCTTGTCCCACCTGGAGGCTCCTGAGCTGCAGGGCACAGGCCCTGCCCCCGATAAACCTGAAAGAAACAATGGGGAGAGAGACAATTAATCAGGCCATGCAGAATATACAAGCGACAACTCAGACAGTTCTGTGGAAACAGATCCAATTTTCAAAGCTCATATCCTCTCCTCAGGGATGACCCTTGCATGCAGCCCCTTTGACCTGCGGTCCTTTCAGTGTCCACACCAGCCAGTGAGTGAGGTTTAGTGGTTATAGCAATCTCCCTTAACCTGCTGCCCTCCAGTAAGATGGGCACTCAGCATGGTTAGGTATGATGGGGGTTGTAGTCTAGAAGGTGCCAGGTTGGAGAAGGCTAAGTTGCAGGCTACCATTCAGTGGTATTACATAGTGACTGGGGCCTTGTACTTCAACTGGGGAGGCCCTGGTTGACAGTGTCACCCATGAAGTTCATGAAGATGTCATTGAGCCGGTCAGTGACTCTCAGCCTAACCTACCTCACAAGATGGTTGAAAGGATATTGCATTGAACTTCTTGGATGAAAACCCAGATTATGAAGATGTTATCTCTATTGTGCAGCACATGAGTCCAAAAGGGAGCAGTTTTTACAGAGAGATTTGAACTTAACCCTCTTAGAAGCAAGCCCAAAAATGTGACCTGTTAGGCCACCCCAGGAGTAGGAAACACCAGAATTTTTGGTCTTGTACTTTCCAAACTGTCCCAGGTAAATTGTCCTGAGTCTATTCGCTACTTCTGTGGTGGCTCAGTTGATTTATATGATCACTTCTTGATAAATAATGTGTTGCCCAAGTCACAGAATACAATTTTTCTAGAAACCAGAAGCAGCTGTGTTGTGGTTTGTTTTTAATTAGTTATGGGGCAAGGCCAGGGATGCTTCTTGTCCTTCTGTGGCCTGAGCTAGTTTTGCTCAGGGATGGGATAGGGGACTGGCCTAATTATGCTTTAGGGTCTCATGTCAGCTCACTACCTCATTCCTTCACAGATGTGCAAATGCACAGGAATCAAATTTTCATTTGATTTACCCAAAGGAAGTCCCTAAAGGAAGTCCGTAAAGATCTTCAGAGTGGAAAGTAGTAAAGCACAGGTTTTGCATGCTTTGCATGCTGAAGGTTCCAGGTTCAAATCTGGCATCTTCAGATAGGTTTGAAACACCTGCCTGAAACCCTGGAGAGCCAATCAGGATGCAGAGGCAATATGCTGAAGTAGGTGGGCCAGTATTTGACTCCGTATAAGGCAGTTTCCCATGTGTTGGTCAGCTTTCCATCTCACATCTCCAAGAAATGGGGAAAGAAATGCTCATAATCTGTTGTTTTTGAGTTCCATCTAAATGTTCTTTTAGGGATCCCTTATGGCCCAGTGGCTCTGACTGAAAAAAGATCCCAGATCCCTTCCAATTCATCTTCATACTAAGTTTTCAGCTATCCTTGTAACTGCCTGCAAGGCAACACCTCCCATAGACCTGACAATAGGCAGCTGAGGGCAAGTAATATTCTGTTGCAATGGACCAAGAAGAAAGAGGTGAGAGGAGATGACCCATGACCCAGCTTTCTTTCTCCCACCATGGATGATTCCAGAAGGAGGGTTTCCTTTGCCCTTATCCTTCCCTAAGGAATATGATGATTGCATCTGGGGTAAAAACAATAGAAGCAAAGATAGTTGCTGATATGCAACAGTCAGTGCTGGATCTGAAAAAGAGGCAGAAAGCCAGTTTCCCCTCAACAGGAAACACTGTGGCTGTATGGGTTACCCGTACATCTGATGGGGACAGGAATCTGTTGCGAGTGTTAAAGCTGTGAGCCCTCATCTTACACTCAGCCTGTAAATATGTGAAACCAAGACTTTTATTTCAGAATTGTCACAACTCTCCCGTGACCTTCTCCTAAGGAAACCAAACCCTGACTAGGTGCTGGAGTCCCAGAAACATCTCGTCACCCATTCAGAAGTGTGGGTGAAAGTGCAGAAAAACGTATCTGTAGCGGTGTACCCTATCATGCAATAAAAAATTAACTAAGGAAAGAGCTTAGATCTTCTTGGATTCCCTTATTCTGCCTCCCTTCCCCACCTACTCTCTTGTACGTGTCAGGATCGGCACGGGGTGGGGGGTGGCGGTTCAGGAAGGCCCTACCCCCTGCTCTGCCGCATGTGTCTGTATCTGTGCACACTCTGCAGCCTGAGAGACACTCCACCGCAGGGACCTGCTGTTCTCTCAGCATGTCAAGGGCCGCTTGCTGCGTCCTTGAAAGCAACGACTGCAGCTGCAGATTGGGTGGGTGGGGGCTGTGAACATGGAGGCTGCCCAGCTTTTCATTCCGGCCACTTCTCCCCACGTGGCCTCAGTCCCACAGCACCTGGCAGAAATCCCTCCGGTGGGTCTGAAAAGCTCCCAACTCCTGGCTACTAACACCAGCCAAAGCACACCTATGTTTTGGGAATGAAAGCCCCTCTCTTCCTTAGGGTCTCTGGGTGGCCGTCAGTTGCTGCTCCCATTTGCTTCATCTTGCCCTGAGCTAAATAGCCATGAGAAGCAGGAAGACAGAAAGGGATAGAAAATGAGGGAGGGGGACAAATAGGAAGCACACCACAAACAGCTTGGTAATCTGCACAGACAGATAACACACATGGAGCTGGAAAATGAAGAATGAGTGTGCAGACAAACCAAAGCAGCATGTGGATGGATAGACGGAGTGTTCCCTGAGTGTGACGGGCATATGTTGCACGGATATCTTGATATCATTCCTTCTGCCTCAGCCATCTCCTACGGAACATTTACACCTACCTACTTATCCAGTCACCACTAACTCTAGAACAAGCATCTAACATCTTTACTTTAGTTTTTCAGACTTGGGTTGTATGTATTCATTTTATTTTCTCTCTTAGTTTTTGGGGCAGCCGGTTTGGGAGGGAGGATATTGCACAGGCATTACAAGCAGTCCCTGAAGATGCAGCAGGCTATTTGCCTTTCCCTTTCCTTCTTCCAACCAAAGCTGTGAACAAGGAGAAAAAGTAAGTGCTCTGTCCAAAAGGAGAAACCAGGGGGCAACAACCGCAAGGTTTGCAGGGCCCCCACAGTGAAAGTTCTTGGGTTCAGTGACCTGGATTGTTAAATCTACAGTAGTCTTCCCCAACTGGGTCCCTTCCAGATTTGTTAGACAACCACTCCCATCATCCCCAGTTAGCTTAGCCAATGGCTGACAGTGTGTCTACAGCTCAATAATGCCAGGTCCCTTTCACACCAAGGACTAGTCATCTGCCTGCAAGCCAGCCTGGACCTGACGCTTAGCAACCACATCAGATCTCAGATCTTCATTCGTTGTAGGTGCCAGAAGGGCCCCATTTTCATCAGGGGGAGGACAGCCTGCAGGGAGGGCAGGTTGGTGACAATAGGAACTTTTGTCCTTGGGCTAAACGCAGCACCAGCAGTGGTGGTGGTGACTTTTCATCAGGGTGATAAAATGGCAGCCACTGCAAGGGTTAATGAGCGGCCCGCTCAGGTCAGCTATTTCTTCCCCACCCACAATGTTATGCCATGCCCACAGATATGGACGGAACATTGTGGGAGGAACATATGGAAAAATGCTTATGTGGAAGAGGTTTTTTTTAAAACTCTCCTTCTTGCCTACAGTAGAAATGCACTAGCATCCATCCTTCCAGAAACAGCCTCTGGAAGTTATGCCATGGCAGAACACAGGTCCTTCTAGCTCACAGCACTAACTAGTGGAGGCTTTCTAGGGTTTCAGGCAGAAGTCCCTCCTTTCCAACCCTAGCTGAAGATGCTGGCAATTGAACCTGGCAACTCTCGCACACCAAATATGCGCTCTGGGCAACAGCCCTTCCTCCTGAATGCAAACCACCATGAAATCAGGTAGATATGAGGAAGTACACACATGTCGCAAACAAATAAACCTCCACTTATAATCCTATGCTCTCTAGGGACTTGTAAACCTCACGTTTCCTGTGCTGTCACATTAAATATACATCCCCAGATACATAAAGTTATGTGAGAGAGACGATCTGACTTCACTGAAGTGTCAAAGTTAACCCCAGTTTTACTGGACCTAGGACCTTCATGGTCAGACACCAAACTGGGCGCAGCATGGTTTAAAGCTGGCGCTTAGCCTGGGTAGGTTCCCAAACATGGTGTCTGCAAGTGCATAAAGAAATAAAGATGGACATGAAGGACCCCTGTGAGTGACTGTAACTATGAAAACTCTAGCTGTGTACCTGATCACCTGTCTTTGCATTACCAACAGGTACTGAAGATTTTGGCTCAAGCTGCTGACTGGAGGAACCTTGAGATGCAAAACAGCAAAATCTGAGTGTTCATCAGTCTTGCCCTGGTAATCTCCTTCAGGGTAATTTTGTTTAATTTTGGTTTACCAGTCCTAATTTGAAGAAGATTTGTCTTTGCTTTAAAACAGGTTGTCATGAGAAGTTCTTAGATTCAACTCCCATCTGCCTAAGTGGTCAGAGGTGATGGGAGTTGTGCAGCAACCATGTTTTAAAGGCCACAGGTTCCCCTTTCCTGCTTTAAACAATTTCCCTCTTGTTTGTTGCACAGAGGAAGCTGCACAGAAAGTAGATCTTCAGATGTTTAGGAGTTCAACTCAGATAATCCCTCATCAATAGCCACACTGGCAGGGACTTCTGAGAGCCGAAGTCCAAAATCTTTAGAGGTCAGTTTTCAGACAACTCTGTTCTGGAGCAGCAGAGAAGAACCGAAAGACCGGGCCTTTCAAAGACATCCTGTATCCATTCTTGACCGTTAAAGAAAGCCATACTCATAGACTGACAAATACCACACAGCAAGTGGTACCTCTAGCTATTGGTAGAAATCACAGCCATGTCAGCACTCACAAACACAAAGAAAAAAACACATTGCCATATTGCCTAATAAGACTAAAATTACTTGTATTCTGACATCATG